TTACACTTCAAAAAGTGTATTATTTAACCTTTATTTTTTAATAAGTAGTTTGTTTTATAAGTTTGTAGTTCCTCGTAGTGTGTAGTAGAAGGATGATGAAATGATATGTTACCAATATTAGGAAAGACTTAAGTTTCACGATAAAAAGTCCAACAAGTAACGTGATTGCCTTTTAAAATAATCTCCTAAACTACATACATTATTCCTATAGAAGATCATTTTAAAAGCACTCTATAAAACTATATTTCATATTTACCAATTCATACAAATCAACAGGTATTTAAAATTATGCTTTAAACAATTACCGTTACAGTGCATTTTACTATCAACAACCAACCCTAGATTTATGTGAGTAATAAGTTCCGCTGCTGATGAAAAATTTCAACCAGTTAGGAACAGGTCCATGATATTAAACTTTGCGGCAACTCGATTATCAAATAGTTTCGAATCGATTTTATACGAGTATTGAATTTGATCGAGTTGCGACCGCACTTTAATAAACTTTGTTTCATATTTCCCATAGATATTCTATTTAAATATAATAGTATTATCTCTCTCGATAATAAAATTATCTTCATTGTATTTTGTAGCGATACTTTGGGTTGGGGTAAGCTATATTTTTTCGTGTTTATGTATTATCGACGACTTGTTGTTAATTTTATTGAAACTTCATTACCTACCAAGGAGAATGTATGTAAAAAGAAAATAAAGATGTTGTTAATTTACATAGAACTATCCAAAAAAGAAGTTCATATTTGCTAGGTTATTATAATACGTTACCAACGGGTCTTTTCAAGGAAAGACAGATATGTCTTCTTAATATCATTATTATCTCTATGAAGATGTCAATGAACCTATCCACATTTCGTGTTTGGTTGTCGTGTGATTAGTTACGGCCAGTTTCAATTACCTATCTATCTAAATTATTATGTTTTCGGCTTACTCACGTAGTAATTTGGCGAGGAACTCGACTAGTTTCAAGCTATGCTAGGGGCTCATATTCATGAGCAGCATTTCAGCATGAGTAAGCCGAAAACATAATAATTTATTTAGTATGTCTCACGAAAGTTACAATACACCTATCTATCTGTAGATTTGCTTATTAGAGATATAATTTTGACGTAAGCTCCATACAGAACGTGTCAAAATTCTATCTCTAGGTAGTAACTGGTCATTAACCAACAAGATAACTAACTTCTACATTGAAAAAACTGCTAAAATTATAACATACTCGTATTTCTACATATTTCTTGAATGAGACATTAAAAAATTATTAGCCGTACGTTCAGTCGCATTACAAACTTAATTGGCGTTAACCAGCAAAAAGTTGCAACAATTCTCGGTGCATATCTCGTCTAATCGACGCAATGACCCATTTAACTAACTGGCCAGTTAACTTATGTGTTGACGGTTAATCGCGGATGTAATTTCAAATGACGCCGACTTAAGAGAGGCATTCCGGAATATTGTGGGGTTTATTTTGATGGTAGTCGTCTGTAAGTCGGGGACGTTTTTGAAAGTGTTATGTATAATTTGTCATTTGTCTGTTTCTCAAAGTGAACAATTACTGTTATGTCACATTGACGGCACGGCACGGCAAGAGGTCTCGGGTTCGATTCCCGGGTCGGGCAAAGTATTACTGGGTTTATTAAGAAAACTTAGTAGTAGCACGTAGTCTGAAATTTTATCCGGTATATAGCGATAGGCTTACCCCCTATTATATGAGACTTAAAACATAAATAGTGAAAACGATCGCAAAGAGAAATCTCTCGCTTTATTATTTGAAATTATAAATTAATAAATGAAATACTGATCCACGGAAATCTTTGTCATTTCATCACAATTTTAATAAGGGTTTCTTATTTCGCCTGCTTCAAGTCACACCCCTATATTTACAGTACAGAAATATAGAACTTTGACACACGTACCTCACAGAGACAAGCTTATAACAAAACTTTTGCCACAAACAACACATCCCATTTCTAGTACTCCAAGATTATTGCAACTACAATGTTGAACTTTAGCAAATTTTTAAACTCACTCGCCACAATATCGCATGCTTTAAAGATAGTGCCACAGTTCGTCGGCCCCTTGGCATCCGTCGGGCATACTTTTGCTCATCAAAGCAGTAACGTCGGTGACCACGGCCCTCACACGACATACCGTCCATGTTTCTCTAATCTCCAAATATTTGTACTACGCATGTAAGTGGGGGAAATAAGTTATTTCAGCCAAGGGAAGTTGTGGATGGTATTATGTAATAGTTCTTAGTTGTGTAGGAGGTAAAATGGGTGGTTGTTTGTGTTGGTTTGTAGTTTTTAGTATTTACTGCCTCGGTCAAGATTAACTACAAACCTTTGCAATTTTTGGATGGAATAAAAAACCTAATTTCCATTATTCTTTAACTTAGCATAACGAGTGTAAAGTTTACGTTACATTTAGTAGTGCGCTTATCTCGACGGTGATTAAAATACAATCATGATAAAGAACAAAACAGAAAAAGACGAAATGGTATCATTCTTTGTATCTAACGTCCAATTAAAAAAAAAACAAAAGAAAACAAAACAAAGAAAAAACAAGCAATTGAATAGAATTAAACAGGCACCAATTAATATCTCTCAAAATCTCCCCACGGTCAATTTATAAGGATGATCTCACATTCACATGAATTGCTAACGAGGGCTTGATAAACAAATTCACGGATCGCCCCCTTTGAAACCCTAAACGTGGTACGGTGTGCAATCTCAGTAAATAATTGCACTTCCCTACCATAAAGTCAGTGAGGGTAAGTTCGTTTCCGTAAATTTTTTTAGCAACGTCTTAACTAGCGGTAAAGTACGCAGAAATTGGAGCCTTAGAGACTACCCTATGTTGTAGACACGGGGATCTGATAAGTTTATTCAGTTTTTTTGTTTAAGGGTTGGACAATTAGAAGGCTTAAATAATGTATAGAACAAATTAAGAGTACCGTTTTATCGGAATTCCACATTATCTATATATATAAAATTCAAAGGTGATTGACTGACTGACTGATTGACTGACTGACATAGTGATCTATCAACGCACAGCCCAAACCGCTGGACAGATTGGGCTAAAATTTGGCACACAGATAGATGTTATGACGTAGGCATTCGCTAAGAAAGGATTTTGACAATTTCCACCCTCAAGGGGGTAAAAAAGGGGATGAAAGTTTGTATGAAACTTTGTCAGTTTTTAACTGATCGGGTTGAAATAAACTCGGATAAGCCGTTTCTGAGATTAGCGTGAACAGACAAACAGACAAACAGACAAAAAAAAAGTTAGTTACATTTTTGGGTTCAACATCGACATAACAATAGCCCCTGCTATTTTTTTTATTTTATTTTCAATGTACAGACAGCACTTTTCTACAATTTTATTATATGTATAGATAGATTAAATAAATACGAAAGACAATTTAAAACTAATAATGCAGGAAACATGCAGTTGACAATAATTAATAGGCTATTATTAGCTCATGTTATATCTGTACGAAAGAAAACACATGTTTTTTAATAAAATGAAGAATAAATTTACATATATTTCATTTCTTTTCTCTTTTAAGTCTATTATTAATGTTTTGTTTTTATATAGGTATGTGTATTTTTATTTCTATTTTTAATAATCCTTGTTTTCGTGTGCCAATGGCCAAATAAATGACTTTCTATCTTTCTTTATTATATACCTAGAGGTACATTGAACTAGACTACAATCAAACAATTTGTGTATAATGTATTATTTAAATTGAAATATTAATTTCTATAGAACAAATTGTTAAACTTGGTGACTGAAACAATTTGTTACGCGTAAAGGAGTTTTTATATAAAAAGGATAGTATTTTTTTAAAAACATTGTCAGTATAGCTCAGTAGCTAGGTACAGTAACAAAATGAAGACTAGTTTCTTAACTCTTACTTCGATAGTAGTATCGGTGAGTAGCTTAAAATTAATTCATTATAACATTTTTTTCTTTTTATTTATTTATTTTTATTTATTTATATATACTTTATTGCACACATAGAAAAATTGTAAACATTTCAATAGTAATTTGAGTACAATGGGCGGTCTTATCACACGCGGCGATTTCTTCCAGACAACCTTTCGATGGAATTTTTGCAAAGAATCTGGGAATGGGTGGTAGATGCACAATAAAAGAAAACCAAAATAGAAGAAAAACAATAAAAAACAAATTAAACAATCAATGAAACTTACAGACTTATTATAATACATAAAAGATGGCAATACTATGTAATAAATATATACTTAAATGTAAAATGATTTTTCGTTTTCGTAGGATTAGCTGGGAAACGAGCATACCGATCCACTGATGGTAAGCAATCGGCGCCGCTCATGGACACCCGAAATACCAGATGCGTTACAAACGCGTTGCCGGCCTTTTAAGGGTTGGGAATTTGCGAATTATTCCGCTATTTTACTAAAGAATCTATCCAAACTTTGACATTTATTTTATGGTCTACATTTGGTTGTATTCATTTGAATACGGGTTGATATTCTTCAAAGTTTGAATCCTTTTTAAACTTTACTCTGTTTCTAATATTTTTTAAATTTACCAGTCATTTTCATAATCCAACGCCAAAGACGATTTTCGACATAAAATTGCCATAAATTTTACCGATATAGAATGCCTCCTCAAGACGCAAGTCAAATCTCTGGTTAATTAGTATTCATAATGTTTTATCCCGAATCAACAACATGTATAATCATATAGGCACAATCCATCTCTATAATTATCAAAAATATTATTATTTTTCAGATATGTTACGTTACACAGGCTGCTCCAAATTTAATCCTAAGTAAGTATCAATTATTTAATTTGTTATATTAAAAACTGGGATTGAATTAATAAGAGGATACTTCATAATTTGTTGATATATTTGTTTAGGCTTTAAAACAACAACAACGGGTTCCTGTGGAGGAATAACAACAACAACAACACCTGTTCCGACTACATCTTGTGGAGGGATGACATCAACTACAACATTACCACCAACTACCACTACCACCACTTGTCCTTCTCCAACTACCACTACCACTACCACCACTAACTCGCCACCTACTACAACTACAACTACTACAACCACTACTTGTCCTCCTCCAACCACTACTACGACTACGACCACTACTTGCCCTCCAACTACTACCTCAACCACCACCACAACTATTTGTCCGCCAGAGACTACAACTACTACTACTGCAGCTCCAAAGACTACTACCACCACTACTTGTCCACCAGAAACTACGACTACGACCACGACTACTACAGCACCTGACACAACGACAACCACTGAAGCTCCCAAGACTACTACTACCACCACTTGTCCACCGGATACTGCGACTACGACTACAACCACTACTAGTGCACCCGACACAACGACAACCACTGCAACTCCAAAGACTACTACCACCACTACTTGTCCACCAGATATTACGACTACGACTACAACCACTACAGCTCCAAAGACTACCACCACCACTACTTGTCCACCAGATACTACGACTACGACTACAACCACTACTAGTGCACCCGACACAACGACAACCACTACAGCTCCAAGGACTACCACCACCACTACTTGTCCACCAGATACTACGACTACGACTACAACCACCACTACTGCACCCGACACAACGACAACCACTACAGCTCCAAAGACTACTACTACCACCACTTGTCCACCAGATACTACGACTACGACTACAACCACCACTACTGCACCCGACACAACGACAACCACTGCAGCTCCAAAGACTACCATCACCACTACTTGTCCACCAGATACTACGACTACGACTACAACCACCACAACTGCACCCGACACAACGACAACCACTACAGCTCCAAAGACTATTACCACCACTACTTGTCCACCAGATACGACGACTACAACTACAACCACTACTACTGCACCCGACAAAACGACAACCACTGCAGCTCCGAAGACTACTACTACTACCACTTGCCCACCAGAAACTACTACTATAACCACCACTACTGCACCGGATACAACGACAACAACCACAAGTACACCTAAACCAACGACTACTACCACATGTCCACCACCTACAACGACTACTAGTACACCCAAACCAACAACAACGACCACATGTCCACCACCTACAACAACTACTAGTACACCTAAACCAACAACAACGACCACATGTCCACCACCTACAACAACTACTAGTACACCTAAACCAACAACAACGACCACATGTCCACCACCTACAACAACTACTAGTACACCTAAACCAACAACAACGACCACATGTCCACCACCTACAACAACTACTAGTACACCTAAACCAACAACAACGACCACATGTCCACCACCTACAACAACAACTAGTACACCTAAACCAACAACAACGACCACATGTTCACCACCTACAACGACCACTACTACACCTAAACCAACAACAACCACCACTTGTCCACCATCACCAACAACCACGTCAACAACAATGACTACTACCACACCTTGTCCACCAACCACAACCACTACGACAACTACTCCCAAACCGACAACGACTACTTATTGTAGCTCTATGACAACTACAACGACTACATGTGCACCATATACGACTACTACTAAGTCTTGCCTTTTAGGAATACTCAGTGTTAATGTGTAATTTTACATCTAGTCTATACAAATAGTATCAAGGACGAGATGCAATAAAGTTAATTTTTGTATTAATAGTTTCTTGACTTTGTGTTTTGTGATTCACTGTTAGCTTTATTTTGTACTAGTTCAATAATAATTAAAATATAGGATAGTATGTTAAATATAATATTTCAATACTGTCTCTTCATCGTTTTATATACTGAACTTAGAGAACAAGTTACCAATATTTTGTTGGAGTGTCAATGTACATAGGTAGTGGGTTAGTCAATGTTGCCATCAATTTCAAAATATAAGGGCTAATGAATAAATCTAACTATGAAGTGTTTTTTTATACATCAAGTATTTTTGGCTGCCTCGTTGCCCGAGTGGTCGCAAGTGCGACTGCCGGGCAAGGGGTTTCGGGTTAGATTCTTGGGTTGGGCAAAGTATTCCTGGATATTTATAAAAATTCTCAGTAATAGCACGGAGTCTGGAATTGTGTCTGGTATATGGCAATAGGCTCACCCCCTATTACATGGGATTCATAACATAAATAGTCAAAAGTGGATGTTACATTGTACAGTGGCATAATGTACACCTCTGCTCCTCTTTGGGGATAAAAGGCGTAATGTTATGTTATGTTGCACACAGAAGTAACACCCACTTTTCACTATTTATGTTATGAGTCCCATGTTATAGGTGGTGAGCCTATTGCCATATACCGGGCACAAATCCAGACGACGTGCTACTACTGAATTTTTTTTAAACCCACTAATACTTTGCTCGACCCGGGAATCGAACCCGAGACCCCTTGCCAGGCAGTCGCACTTGCGACCACTGGGCCTACGAGGCAGGCAGCAGCAAATTATCTTGTGATTGAAAAATGGCCCTTAAACTAAGATGTGAATTGAGTTCTATTTTCCAATATCAGAAACAACTGTTCCTGATAATATAAAGATATTCCTTTTACAACTTTTTCATCTCAATAAAAAGATTTTTAAAAACCGTTGTGATGGTTATAATGACTTGATAAAGATTAAAAAAAACAAAGTTGAATAGTAATTAAATAAGTTTATTAGCCAAAATATACTTGTTACAAAATGTTACATTCAGATAAGAACATATATTTTTATAATAACTATGTGAGATTTTCGTGAGACATATTAAATAAATTATTATTGTCTGGACTTTAAAAGAGACAGACCTTTGATTTTTTTTCGGCATTTCTTCTCGGAGTAGTCAGTTAGGAAATGTCGGCCTCATCGTTCGCTTGATAAAATTGACGTGTAAAAGTGCTGCCTTGTAGCCTATTTGCAGAAATAAATTCACTTGTTTCACTTGTCACTTGTTTCACTATGTTTTCGGCTTACTCATGTAATAATTTGACGAGGAACTCAGTAGCAGCGCGACAGTCGCCGCGTCGCGGGTCGTGAAATGCTGCTCATGAATATGAGCCTCTAGCATAGCTTGAAACTAGTCGAGTTCCTCGTCAAATTATTACGTGAGTAAGCCGAAAACATAATAATTTATTTAACTACATGAAACATACTAAATTAACTAAAAATCGAGGGTTACTCACGTAAACATATTGAGAGAAGCTCTACGATTTTCGAACAACATAGGGGTTCTTCCTCAGAGCTTTTCTCAGTATATTCACGAGAGTAACCCGCATTTTTTAAGTTTTTATGACCATACATTATTACATAAAGTCACACTTGTCTCCGTAGGGATATGGGGGTAGGCAGACTATGGAAGACCAATTACTACTATTTTATATACTTTTCTCGCTTCATCAACAGTCATTGATATTTTCATGCATGCTTGTCGGTTAAGGGTATTTTTAATTTGGCCTTTCTTTAATATATCGCCAATCTGCTCTATATATTACATCCTTTTAGGGCGCCCTCTGTCGACAGCTCCACTCATATACAGTATACTGCTTTTGTTAATCTACTGTCATCCATCCTACCTACCAGATAAGACAAAAATTATATGATTATAGAAAATGAATACACAAATTGTAAATAACAAATATTTATTGTAAAATAAATGACTAGACTTCAACAAATGCAGTTACATCGGCCAATGGCTCGCAGGTTACTGCGACGTCAACTGTTGCGACATCGAAGCCGCTTGGGATAGGTTCACCTGAAAGAAGACGAAAAATCAAAATATAAATCTTTCATTCATCGTAACTAGAAACTTAGTTCCTTCAATCATTATAATCCATTTCAGGAAATACATATCCTACACAATTAAAAAAAATTGAGCAATCAAAGTCAATAATACGGCTTCTACCACTATGTGCTTAGGTTTTGTAACTTTCTGATTATTGCTTATGGAGTTAAAATACTAACTTGTATACTACTTACCTGCTACAAATAAGATGTTGGACATCTGAAAGAGGAAGAAAATAGTTAGTTTATTTGTTTGCTATTGCATAGAGCATAGTAGATTACCTGATAAGATAAGTGGTTTCAAAATTCCGTTCTCGATAAGGGTTGTATTTAAGAAAAAAAAAAGATATTTGTCTCTTGCCAACCTAGGAATCCACTACCAACGCCGCTGGCGAACGTGCCGATCGTCTCACTACTATCACAAGCACTGCCACTGCTTCCGGAGTCTTTCCGGGCGCAATTGGCGCGGAATGCAAGCACTAACCCGTAGGCTGCGCGACATCGCTGCGTCAGGGCACGCTGTTCATAATGAAAAGCCCTTCCATAACTCGAAATTAGTAGAGCTTTTCTCGGTATCTCTCGTGTGTAAACCAGTGTTCTTAATTATTTTTTTCACTTACCGCAATGATAGCCAGTACCAAGAAGAGAAGGAATAACTTGTTCATATTGAAGTGTTTACTACAAATGCTTTTGATAAACTGATTTCTTTAAATGATAACCCCCTTTATATACTTTTATACATCACTCAAATTTGCAGGCATCCATTATACTATATACATCCGGGAAATAAGTCTTTTTATCAAATGTAAAAGGTGTTACATATATTATTATTGTAATATTATAAACAATATGTTTAATCATACGATATGGCAGGTACGTTGAACTGTCATAAAGTAATATAATATAGAAAATGCGTAACAAAAATCAATTGTTTGACTCATTATTTTTATAGTACATTGCCTTAGACATAATGATACACTTAATTGTTCACATTAAATACTTTTTATTGTTTGTAGTACGTTCACAGTGCCAATGTGTTTTTTTATATTGTGTATTGTTTTATATTATATGTTACAAGTAATTACATTGTAAGAAAGAGAAAAGTACATTCAATATTTAAAAAAATGCTTAGGGCATGATCTACACTCGATACCGAAGCCAAAAATATTGTTTTTAGAATTATTGTCTGTTTGTCTGTCCAGGATAACTTTATAGTTATCCCGGACGTACTTACAGACAAATTTAAAGACTGTTGCATGTGAGTGCTGCATAGATTTACTTCAAAATTTGCATAAATGGTCGGGTCAAAATATCATGTACATATTATCATGCTATCAGCTACGGGGGAGGAGCTGTGCACTCTAATACTATTCCCTATACTTAACTCGTCGAGTACCGTCATTATAGACACAATTATAGAACAATAGGTTGCGGTCACCGGTGACCGCTTGGTGTTTGACAGTTTAATATATACATACTCCCAGATTCATTAAAACAATCTATACAAAGGTTGTCTGGAAGAAATCGCCGCGTGTGATAAGCCCGCCCATTGTATTCTAATTACTGGTATATTGTAAACTACTTTTTTCTGTATGTGTGCAATAAAGTATAAAAAATAATGTATTTATAATTGGAACCATGTTGTATTCTCCTAAATACATCATCGCATCATCGCTTACCACCCACCCTTTAAATATATACATACATAACTTCACGCCAATCTCCCATGGGGGTAGGCAGAGACTATGGAACGCCAATTACTACGATTCCTACATTCCTTTTTCGCTTCATCAACAGTCATCTTTTAAATAATCTTAAAAAAGTATAATTAGGAAAAAGTCACATTGGTACCTCTACATGTCGTTGATAGGTTTTGATCCCGCATCCTCATGCATGAGAAGCAGGCGTCTTAAACCTCCGGCCACCACAACGGTATATATATTAGAAGACTTTTATTTTATACAATGACAAGGACAAATTTAAAAAGTTGACGGCCAACCTTCAGGAATGAAGTGGCACCATAAGAAGAAGAAGAAGAGTTTTACTTTCTCATAAAAATGACTGTGAGCTATCCTCTTACTTTTTCTCAGTGCGTCCTCTCAGAGAAGTCAGTAAGGCAATGCCGACTTCATCTAGTTAAATTTTAAAACATCGTACACTTATCATCACAATGTCGTGGTGGCCCGGAGGTTTAAGACGCCCACTTCTCATGCATGAGGGTGCGGGTTCGAAACCTACCAACGGCAAGTACCAATGTGACTTTTTCCGAGTTATATGTACTTTCTAAGATTATTTAGACACCACTGACAAACGGTGAAGGAAAAACATCGTGAGGAAACCTGAACTTATAATTTCTAATTATAAGTTTGAAATCGCCAACCCGCATTGAGCAAGCGTGGTGATTAATGCTCTAACCTTCTCCGTGTGAGAAGAGGCTTTGCTCAGCAGTGGGCATTTATAGGCTGTTGATGATGATGACACTTATCATTGAAAGATAATAAGCTATAGCCACGTCACTTGCGTCATAATCAAATGCCATGGATGCTAGTCGCATCATTTTAAATTGCAAAGTCAATGTGTAACCAAACCCATTAAACTGTCACACACCGCGCGGTCACCGGTGACCGTAACCTATTGTTCTTTAATTGTGTCTATAATGACGGCACTCAAGGGTTAAGAAAGAAACAAAGAAATAAAGAAAAAAACTTTATTTCACGCCAAAAAACAAGTGACATAATACTTATTTAATTAATAGTCACTTGTTTTTTGAAATTATTAGTAGGTACTGATGAATACATGTTCATGTCCCAAGTCTGCCGTGAAATGGGACCAGTTCAGTTTGTGCAAGACA